ATTTCTTAGCAAAAGTCTTGCATGGTTTTAACGTGCTGAAATTAAAAATAGAGTGAAGAAAGAATCTTATATCAAGCAGAACAGTTTTTCAAAAAGAAGGAGAAACAGGAGCATTCTCAGATAAGCAAAACCTGAGAGTTCATTAACACTAGAACTGCCCTACAAGAAACAGTAAAGGGAGTCCTGCAAAATGAAATGAAAGGCCACTAGGCATAACTAAGCCATGTGAAATTACAATGTAAACAAAGGTAAATAAATGGAAAATAATTTTTAAAAACTATTACTGTTGTAATTTTGGTGTATAATCCCACTTTTCCCACTTTTACATGACTCAAAACACAAGAGAAAAAAATTGACTGTGAACTTATGTTAATTGTTACACAGTATATAACAGTGTAATCTTGGAGTGAGCATTTGTGGATGGTTAAGTTGCCACTTGGATGGCAACTTCAGAATGTGATGCCCATGGTAAATAGAAGGGAAAAAAAACATAGAGGGGGCTGATGTTATGGTGCAGTGGGTTAAGCCATCTCTTGGAATACTGGCATCCCACATGGGAGCGCCAGTTCAAATCCTGGCTACTCTGCTTCTGATCCAGCTCCCTGCTAATGTGCCTGGGAAAGCAGCAAAGGGGCCAGATTGAATCCAGGAGCCTTGACATCCATCTGGGTCCCCATGTGGGTGGCAGGGGCCTAAGCACTTGGCTCAAGTATATGAGCCTCTTTCACCCATGTGGGAGACCTGGATGGATTTCTGGGTGCCTGGCTTCAGCTTAGACCAGTTCCAGCCATTGCTATCATTTGGAAAGTTAAAAAGATTCTCTCTCTCTCTCCTTCTCTCCCTCCCTCCCTCCTTCCCACCCTCCCTCCGTGTGTGTGTGTGTGTGTGTGTATGTATGTATGTATGTATGTGTCCTTCTCCCTCATTCTCTCTCCTTGGCTTTCAAATCAATGAATTTAAATCTTTAAAAACCAATCTATAGCAATGAGAAGAAAATTACAACATGTCAGCACAAAAAAATTAACTAAACAGAAAGGAAGACAGAGAGGAAATGAGGAACTAAAGATAGGACACACAGAAAACAAATAACAAAATAGAAATAGTAAGTTCTTCCCTCTCAGTATTTATTATAAATATAAATGGATTAAATTTCAATTAAAAGGCATAGATTGGAAGACTGGATTTTTTTTAAAAAAAAGAGTCTATATATCTACAAGAGATTTACTTTAGATCTAAGGACACACATAGGTTGAAAGTGAAAAGACTTCATGCAAATAATAAAAGAAATTATAGGTGGCTTCACTAATAGAACTTACTTTAACTCAAAAGGTATTTTTATACTTTTAAAGATTTATTTATTTATTTTAAAGTCAGAATTATATATAGAGAGAGATCTTCTGGTTTACTTCCCAAATGGCCACAATGGCCAGGAATGGGCCAGACTGAATCCAGGAGCCTTGACATCCATCTGGGTCTCCTATGTGGGTGGCAGGGGCCTAAGCACTTGGGCCATTTTCTGCTTCTTTCCCAGGCACATTAGCAGGGAGATGGTTTGGAACTGGAGCAGTTGGAACTAGAACCAGCACTCATATGGGAGTGGTTTAATCCACTGTGCCACAATGGCAGCCCCAACTCAAAAACTATTATAAGAGAGAAAGGGCATTATATAGTGAGTGATAATAGGGGTGAATCACCAGTAAAATCTAAGAGTTATAAACATATATGCACCAAATATCAGAGTTCCTAAGTACATCTAAGATTGATAGGCATATGGCAAAAACAAGTCTACTTTAACAGTAGGTGACTTCAGTATCCTACTTTCAGTAATGGACATTCCAACAAGCTGTAGGATAAACAAAGAACAATGGACCTGAACACTACCAAATATCAAATGAATCTAACAGACATACATAGAAATTTCCAGTAAATAATACCAGAGTATTTTTCTCAAGTATAAAAGAAATATTTTTAGGATAGTACATATATTATGCCACAAAACAAGCCTCAATACACTTAAAAATATTAAAAATCATACAAAGTATCTTTGATGACCACAGTAGAAAATCAGTAACAGCAAGATACACAGAAAATACACACATATATTGAAATCATAAACAACACACATTTAACCACTGAGTTAAAGAATAAATCATAAGGAAACCCTTTTAAATCTTGAGACAAATGCAAATTAGCAAAACATATCAAAACTTACAGGATGTACAAAAACAGTGCTAAGAGAAAAAATGGATAGCTTAAATGATTACATTAAAAAAGAAAGTCCTCAAGTCTACACGCCTCTAACTAGAAGAAAAAACTAAGCTCAAGGCCAGCAGAGGAAGGAAATATTAACAATTAGAGAAGAGAGAAACAAAATAAATATAACAAAAGTCAAGAAATTCTAAAGTTTTTTCCTAGAAAAAATCAAAAAATTTGAGAAAACTTTAGATATGTTGAAAAGGAAAGGAAAAA